TGGCTCAGTGAGAAGGCAGATGAAATTCAGTTTGATGATGATAGAAACAATCCAAAATACTTTTATGATGCCCTGAATGCTATTTATGATCCAAAGACCTACGGTGTATCTCAGCTGCTCAGCAATGATGGAGCCACACTGATTAGTGATAAGGACATGATCCTAGAGAGATGGGCTTAACACTTCCATAGCATTCTCAATAGACTGTCATCAAACAATGCTGAAGCCATATACCACAGGTTGAAGTCAATCCCTCTCCAGCTTCTTCCAAATGAAGAAGAGATTTTGAATGCCATTAGGCTCCTCTCACATGGCAAAGAACCTGGTGCTGATTCTATTCTAGCTGAGATTTACAAAGCAGGGGGTCTATTGCTTGTACAAAAGCTGACCAAAATCTTCTGGGTTATATGGCAAGAGGAGGTTATCCCCAGGAGTTCAAGGATGCCTGGATTGTTCATCTCTATAAAGGAAAAGAAATTAGATTGTCCTGTGACAATCCTGTGACAAAATAGAGTGCCCTGTGACAAAAAGGGATCTCTTTCTTAGTCACTGTTAGCAAGATTCTTGCCAAAGTCCTCTTTAATAGGCTAATCCTTTGCTTGGAAGATGGCCATCTACCCAAGAGCCAGTGTTGCTTCAGAAAGGGCCAAGGAACAGTCAATATGGTGTTTGCTGCCTGACAACTCCAGGAGAAATGCCAGGAACAGAACAAAGATTTGTACATAGTGTGAGTTGATCTGACCAAGGGTTTTGTGGAGGGCTTGTGGAAGATAATGGCAAAATTTGATACCTAGAGAAGTTCATCAGTATTGTACACCAGTTCCATGATGGCATGTTTACACAGGTTTTGAATAATGGATGATGCATGGAGTGACGCAGGGCTGTGTACTTGCTCCCATACTTTTTAGCATGATGTGTTCAGTGATATTGTCAGATTCCTTCAAATGGCAACAAGGTCAGCTATTGCACTGACGGTAAATTACTTAACTTGAAAAGGCTGCAAGCCAAGACAAAAGTAGAGGAAGAGTTGGTGGGCAACTTTCTGTTTGCAGATGACTGTGCACTCAATGCAGCCTCTGAGGCTGAGATCTAACAAAATATAGATCGATTCTCTGCTACCTGTGCTAATTTTGGCCAAGAAAACAGAAGTACACCACTAACCTGCACCATACCTTTCATATGTAAAATCATCGGTTATAGCAAATGGAGAAAGTTTGAATGCCGTGGATCAGTTCACTTACCTTGGCAGTGTATTTTCAGGAATGTCCACAAAGATTATGAGATTTACACATGCATTGCCAAAGCTAGTGCAGTGTTTAGGAGGCTTTAAAGGAAAGTGTGGGAGAGAAGAGGTATTAGGCTGCCTATCAGACTGAAGATCTACAGAGCCATTGTGCTGACCTCATTGTTGTATGCCCATGAAACCTGGACAGTCTACCAGGACCATGCCAGGAAACTGAATCGCTTCCATTTGAATTGTTTTAGGAAGATTCTGAAGATTACCTGGCAAGATAAGGTATCAGACACTGAGGTCCTTTCTCAAGCTGAACTGCCAAGCATTCAAACTCTACCTCAGAGAGTGTAGTTTAGATGGGCTGGCCACATTATTTGAATGCTAAACATACGTTTGCCTAAAAGACTATTTTACAAAGAACTCACACAAGGCAAGCACTCACATAGAGGTCAGGAAAAATGATACAAGGATACTCTTAAAGTCTCTCTGAAGAACTCTGGAATGGATTGTGAGATATAGGATACACTGGCACAGGACTGATCAGCATGATGTGCCCATATCAAAGAAGGCAATGTGCTCTATAAGCAAAGCAGAATTTCAGTAGCTCAAAAGAAACGTGAGATGGGAGATGCACAAATTTAGAAAAATGTCCATTCCAAACGTTCATATGGACTATTTGTGCCTGACCTGTGGTAGAGCATGCTGAGCTCACATTGATCTGATTAGCTACAGTGGGACTCACTGTGATGTCTTAGTGATATCATTTTGATCTTCTTTGAGCATGAAGGACAACTACTATACAACTCTGTGTGTGTATACACACCCACACACACACACACACACACACACACACACACACAGAGTACCTGTGCCTTCTTTCCATGGTCAGCTATCATTATTTCATTCGCTTCTAGTCTTAACTCTCCTTTGATCCTTCTTTTTCCCCCAATAGAACAGACTCCTTTTGTTGGCCTTAGCTTTTCTCAACAACTTCAGCTCATTCTAAGATGACCTTCAGTACACCTGATGCAATTTTTACTTAAAATAATATTTGATGTAATAGTTTACATTATGCTACTTTACAACAATGTATATATTACCCATTTTTAATATGCACCATTGTTTGGGGGATTGTTTCAGTTCATCACTTTTTCATTTAAACATTTTTGTTTTTAAATTTGAAGTATTTAATTTTTATGGGTTGCCACAGAAAACTGTGATAGGATTTGGATTAACAACTTTTACAGGGCATTCACCAGTATAACTATATTTGGGGCAGATGCTGCAGATGGACAATGAGCTGGGCTCAGAATTAAACAGGAGGAGGAGGAAAGAGAGAACAGACTGGATCACCTTTGGGAAACTGCATAATTCTTTCAAACAAGCTTATTGAAACAGAATTGTATTTTTAAAAACATCAATATTCTCTATTGCTACCAGTCATATGAGTCATTACAATCACTGAAGTAGATGTACGTTGTAGTTTATACCACCTTCCCCAAAGGTAAACTTTAAGAGCTGCTGAATAAGCCATCCCTTTCCCATCAGACTTGCATTGTCCAAGTAACTCAACAACTGCTCTTTCCAGATAGGAAATGATAGAAATTGTATGAATTGTCTTCTGTCACCAAAGCACACACTACAAAAGAAAACTTCTTCCTCTGGAAAAGAAGCTAGAAATTCTCAGACATGTAGTTGCCCTGAATCAACTCCCAACATTGATGCTCCTTTTCTGACTAAATGCCTAGATTTCTGGATCATACTGCACATGGAACTCTAAATCCCTCCTCCTCTACATAAATGTTGGTATTCATGAACATTGTCAATAAACTAACTTCCTGGGCCACATTTCTACTTCCACCATGTGCTTCTGCTACAAGTCACCATCAACTGCTCCTGGGGAGAGGAAACTGTGCATAACCACAGGTTTCTCTGCCCTCTTTCCCCCACTCCCCAAAGGAGGTACTTACCTGTCTTCTCAAAATCTAAGAGAGTAGATCCAGCATTCAGATTTAATCTATAAATGGATAAGTAGAAGAGGTGGGATAAAGCACACATTTCCACACAAAAGCTTTCTCTATAAAAATAAGCTCCTTATTAAAATGACAGTGAAACTACTTAAATGTTCCATATAACTATTTTACATAATTGAAGACATAAGAGAAGCAGCATAACATTAGCCTTGTGAATAACACATTGGACTTGGAGTCAGAAAAATGCAGATTGGAATACAGCTTCCGACATTTACTGAGCAACTCATTTAATCCTTAGAAGCCTCAGTGTCCTCACCTGTAAAATGAGGGTCAATAACAGCATCTGCTTCAGAGGGTTGTAATGAAAAACAATTTATATCTATATATACATACATACGTACACACATATATATACCCACACATATACATATATGTGTGGGTATACATATATATGCATATACACATACATATATGTATATATAAAATCTTTAAGTGCTACATAAATATTTAGTAGGCTATTATTAAGGAAAAAAATTAAAGAAATATACCACTCAATAATGCTATTATGTTATTTTATCTAAGTCTTATGACCCTATAAGCACAATACTAAAAATATTATTATTCAATTTTAAAGGCAGGGAAACTGAGGCTCAGAAAGGCTTAATGAATTGCCCTGAGTTATAAAGCCAATGTTAGAGTCAAGATTCCAACCCAGTTCTTCCTGGCTTCCTTCCAGTCCAACCCTAGATCCACTCCCAGATTCTTCTCTCTCAAGTTTTCAACAACTACTTGGTCTAATTCAGGGGTGGGGAACCTGCCACCTGTGGGCCTACAGGTCCTCAAGTGTGGCCCTTTAACTGAATCCAAACTTCACAGAACAAATTGGATTCAAACGGCTGCAGTTGAAGACCTAGAGGGCCATATGTGGCCTCCAGGCCGCAGGTTCCCCACCCTGGTCTAACTGCTCTTCTTTTCAGTTTAAATTACAAGCTCTTAAATCTTAACTTACGATCAGTCTTGCTCAGAAGTCTCTGCAAAGCTTTTGGTCTTCCAAACCTTGACTAAGTAAAAGCTTCATACATCAGTCCTTCACTTCTTGTCACATACAACAATTTATAATCCAGCAAACACTCTGGCTAGGACCTCATGGAATCCTTGGTCTTGGACTTTTAACATCATGACTATTCATGTACTTGATAATTTCCTGGCCTAGGTAGAATAAAAAAATCTTTCCACAGTCACTCCCTTCCTGACTTAAACAGGTAAGATCCTAAGGAACATGCAATCATGTGCTACGGTCTGCCCCTTTGCCCTTCCGTCCTCAGAATTTCCCAGGCACAGTGCTTGTGTACTGCTTGCCCTTAGCAGTATTCACTACCTTCTTCCTTTCTGATGAATGGTTCCCTGGTGTCCTGTTATTCCTTTGCTAAGCCCTGGAGCCTTATGTTAGAGGCAGGCCTCTGTCAGAAGTGCTTTGAGCATGGATTGTTTCCAAAAAGGGCGTTTTTGTCATTTTCTTCCCTCTCAACATGTAAAGCATAACAAAGTCATTTTTGAACAGTTATATGCTGTTCTTGCAAACTACAAGAAAAAAGTATTCTTCCTATCTGTGCTTCCTTAACCTTCTGAAGCTTTTCCAGAGGGGGAAAAAAAAACAACAGACAGTTCTGTTTTCATGAAAGAACAGAAACTGAGAATTTTGTTTCCTGCTGTTTGTGTCATGGCTAAGTAGCACATTAAGGATTTTCAGAAATCAGCTAGTAAGTAAATGCCTACTGTTTCATTCCCAATAGGTTCTGGCTGGCAGTGGAAGACTTGAAGAAAAGAACTATTCGAGAAGTCCCCACCCGAGTCCAGGAAATATGGCAGGAATTTCTGGCTCCAGGTGCTCCCAGTGCCATTAATTTGGATTCCAAAAGCTATGACAAAACCACACAAAATGTGAAGGAGCCAGGACGGTACACATTTGAAGATGCTCAGGTCAGTAGCAGGAGGACTTAGGTTTAGGGAGCTTTGTCTGAATGCATGGGAGGCAGTCAATTATCTTTTCTTATTGACATAATTTCAAGAGCCACCTCCCAGCCCCCATTCATCTTCATTTGACAGCAGTTCCTGTCATTTTGGCTGTCAATGTCTGTAAGTCCTCTAGGTTTTGTAAGTAATGAAATTGAAGTGTCTTAGGAGAAATTGAGAATCTTTTCCCTAATTTTTTGTAAAGCAAATCATTCTTTTATAAAGTAGGTGTAGATACTTCCTCCCTGATTGAGCTACTTGTAAATTAGTAGTTTTGAGTTTCTGAGCTAAGCTGCTATGCCATCTCCTATTGCAGGCCTTTCCTGATTCTCCCTCAATCATCATCTTAGCTGCTAGTCCTTCCCCTTATTACCTGGTATTTAATTTGCTTCTTTCTCCTCTCTTCTCTATTTTATCTTTAATTCTATCTATCTATCTATCTATCTATCTATCTATCTATCTATCTATCT